GATAAAGCTGAACACCACAAAATATGAAAGTGTTTGACAAAGCTTTTTTTGACAATCTTTAGTGGAACATTACTTTTAAATCTCTCATAGTTCTATTTATCCATCTCCACACAGATAATATACATTTAACACTGTACATTCAGAATTCGGAAGGACTTGAATTCTTGTGACCAAAACTCATGGTTATTGATGTTCCTGTTTAAAATGGAGCCAAACAAACCCAAACTCGGAAATGGAGAACAGATACTCCTAAGTCTGTCAACTGATTATTAGAGTCTCTGTTTGTTATGATATGTTCAACATGGGACAGCTTTATTGCTCAGACTAACTCTGTTTTAACTCTCATGATCCAAGACACATCAGAGGTTGTACTCTAAGGAAGGTATATATAACTGTGATCTCACCTACTATTTACAGTTCCCATCAGAGACATATTTTTCATCTTTAGGACAGATACAAGGTGCTAAACCCTATGTCTTTTGCTTCCTCAGGTAAAACAGAAAGCAAAACTTTTTCCAAACCCTAGGCACTCGGAGAAAAAAAAATCACTAAAATAGTTTGCTGTCCTAAGTGACCAACTCTTCTGAGTTAACAGTAGTCAGTTCTGTGCTGATAAGTTATAGCTGCTCAAGTCTACAATGATGCTTATCCAGCAAGACCTCCACAGAGGTGCACAAGGTTTTGAGATTCAGTTTAATCAAAACACTTAAACTGTTGTAATTATTCCACTAAGGTTTTCTTCAAAGTTTTTTTTTAATAAAATGTCATCTACAATATTGTATGATTGGAAGGGGAAAAATGGAACCTGGAACATCATCAATATTACACGGTCTTCAGAACACAGTGACATTCCTACTTGAAATCCAGTGTAGCAGATTAACGAGGTACAGGTGTTACTCACTGGTTACTGTACTACACATTGATTCATGAGGTATCATGAAAAGATTTACTAAACAGGGGCAGGACCCTTAAAAGGACTAACTATAACCCCCAGTCAAACACTGTGCAACTGTGCTCTCTCCCCTTCCCCCTAGCAATCTGTTTCTAAGCTGCGTGCATGTATTCTTAGTATGTTCATTTTAAAATGCAAAAAAAAAAAAAAAAAAAAAGACATATTCCTGTAAACATACATATGACAACTTTGTGTATAATATGGAGTGATGCGACACAATAGGGACATGTACAACATCACAATTTAAGCTTCAGGACCCTGGAGATACATATATATGTTTTGTAGCTGATGTGATAAAAGTTAAGAGACCTTCACAAGAAAATCTACACTGATACCAAGAGGGCTTTTTTCTATGACAATTCTATCTGCTGTCTTCTACGAAGCTGCATGCACAGAGCATGAGGTGGGAAAGGAGAATCAATAAGAGCTGTGTTTGTATTCATCTTTTATAAAAATGTGAATGAAAATGGCATCAGTCAATGTTCTTTCTGTAAAAGGATTAGCTTGTTTTTTGGCTTGCTCTTTTAAAGAAAACACTGGAATGGCTGATTGCAAAAGCCTGCCTTCTTCATTAAGATTTGTGGGTTTTTTGAGGCTGTGGACCCAGTTCTATTACACTGAAACCCCATGATGCCAATCCAATGGTATATAATACAGCAGACATGGCCAGAGCACTGCTGTATTTTGGATATGCTTTACTGGCAAAGCAGTGCCCTGAGACAGTCATTTGTGGCTACAGGCAGTTGATTCCCAAAATATAGGAAATAAACTCCCCTCTGCTGCCTGCCCCAGCACTTCTTGAACCAAGCAGAACTCAACAAGAGGGGAAAAATGAGGAAATGTGTCTGTGACATTTCTTGTTCCTCCTCCTGGATTCCTTTCTCTTCCTTTCACTGCAGTGTATGACATGGCAACAATAGCTGTTAAACTGAAGGGCAGCTCATAAAAATTGAAGGTAGGCAAATTTCCAAACAAGAAGTTATTTTTATAAGCATCTCTGCTGTGGCTTCTGTTTCACTAGCAATGGTTTTGCAATGGACTCAGGTTAAAAATCAGAAAATCTACCCATGTCAGTAAAATCAAAGGGCTCCATTTCGGCATTGCTGAAACATCACAGAAACCTATATATGTTCCCACAATGTTATTGTCTTTTTAAAGCTTTTTTTCTGATCATTTACCAAATGTGCAACACAGAGACATAAGGCAGGTACAGATACACCTTATAAAAATATAAGTAATGAAAATGGACCTCCATGCTACAGCATGAGGAAGTCAGACCCCACTCTCTTCATAACAACACTCTTTGTCTTCACAGTAAAGATCTTCAAGGATTTCTGAAGAAGGGCAGGAAGGGTGCAACTGTCTTGCTCTATTACTGTTACTAGCAACAACACAGGACACTTCCTTTGATACTTGAACCTCTTTTTCTACATTGGACACACCCTTTATAGGAGGAGCTTGGAATTCAAACCAAAAGGGTAGATTCTTCTCTTACTGAGGCCAGTAGGGACGGGATCAAGTCAAAACATGGCAGTGCAAAGTTTAACGGAGATTATTCCAATAAGAAAGGATGTACATCTTCACACACACACACACACACACACACACGCACACACACACACACACACACATATATACATACACACACAAAGCATGCCTCACCAAAAATTAAACACTGTACTTGGCTTGGGGGGAAATAACACACTGGAAAGAGTTTGCTGGCCTGCAGATTGCCTTCACTACTATAAAACTGTGCAGAAAAACCCCCAGAAACAGACTTTGTGCCTAAATGAAGACGCATACAGGTTTCCCTTGCTTTATGCAGGTTCTGTATGTGCGAATTCGCTCTTATGCCATGACCCTTTTGATACCAAAAATTAGTTTTATGAAAGGTAAATTAACTCTTATGCGATCGATGTGGTGGAAGCCCGCAGTCAGCTGCTTTGTGCGGTGCATTGTGGGAGTGACATGCACCAAAATATAGCCTCCTGTGTGGATTTGTGCTCCTCACTTGTCTGCGACACGCATTTCTGTAGCTGCCATCCCCGTTATGGTAACATCCACCACCACCTTGTACTTGTGTGTACTGTCTGCTGTTGGTGAGTATCAAAATTGTTTTGTAAAGGTGGTAGAAATGGGTCTGGGCGTCAGTACAGTCGAGGTCTTGGAACATATTCCTATTTGTTACATTGTAAAGTGGGTTCCCTCGATGCGAATTAGAGTTATGTGATGTTTTCCAGGAATGCATGTACAGCATAAAGTGAGGGAAACTTGTATTTCAGTTGTGCAGCTTACTTTCCTATAGAAATCCTTCATTTGCACTATGCAAAGCTCCGTACCTGCCTTGCTTAGGTGGTCACAATGGATCATGCTGAAAGGTAACTCTCTCATTCCCCTGAAATGCCTTGAGCAGTTTCACAGATTCCAATACAACAGCAGAAATTACAGCTGCTTGCTGCTCCAGGTACTTCATAGTAACACATTTTTTTCAGTGCTGTTTAAGCATTAACTTAAATAAAATCCCTGTGACAACTTCCCTACCCCCCCACCCTCCCTCCCTCCCTCACCAAGTCATATTTGTATGAAACAAGAATTAAAACTGGCCATTGGACAATTAAATATCAAATAAGAACAAGGAAGGTAGGTCAAAAATATAATATTGCAACATGAAGGAAGGAATATATTAAATTCTTCTTCTCATCTTAGAGTATGTATTCCCCTCCCCTTCCTTATTTCTTTTTCTTCCTTTCCTGAACACAACGTGGGCAGAACCTAGGGACAGAAAAGTATAGTATTCATCTCCAAATGTTAAGGATGTTTAGCTAGGAGTCCTTCACTACTGAGAGGGTGGGAAAATAGTCAGCTGATTAACTCAATGAAGTAACCACCTGCATAGGCATCCAATTCATTTGTTGCTGATGTTCTAATATTATAGAACATAAGGGCAAAGGAAAGCATTTAATGGAGAGGGTGCAGAAAGTATGGCAACCAGCAAAGAAGCCACGGTGCTTCTTTGGAGTGAGGGGAGCGACATTAGGGATTCCTAAATCCATTAAGAATAATGGGAGTCTTTCCACCCATTTAATTGAACTGTGCATCAGTCAACATGTAGTCTTCCAGATAGTATTATGTGTTTGTCCTCCAAGTTGGACACTTACATATAATACAACACACCCTACTATTAATGTACATACCATATCATTCAGTGCCTCCATGCCTTGAAAGCATCAGAGCATTGGTGCAAATCATATTTCACTTAGCCAGATTAACATGTTATTCTTGTGAAGCGCAGTTTTTAAATCCCTGTAATTCTAACCTCATTATGCATCCTTCCCCTCCCCACTATTTAGCAAGATATAATTTTTCAGTCAGGGTTATATATCTGCCAAGTGTAAAGCTTTACAGTAAAGCTGGTTTCAGTTTTCCAAACAAAAAGATGGGAGTTTTTCAAAGTATGAAAGATGTGTCCTTGCCAAAATTTGAATGGGTTTAGGGAAAAAAAAAAGGTTGAGACAACTGCATAAGTCTAATTTGGAAAAAAACCCGAAATCAGCCCAAAGGATGTACGTCCTTAAATACTATAAACTCCCAAGGACAAGGGCAAAGTACAAACGCCCTCCTTAGTTTTAACTATAGCACTGCAGTAGCTATGTAGCAAATATATCCATCCTACATAGGAATTTGATGAATACACAGCTATATAAATACAAGCTGTTTTTCCTACCCTGCTCGGACTTGGGTGAAATCCTGTAAACTCTTGCTCAAGCAGTATCTCCTTCAGGCCTTATTCTGTTCCTACTGCAATCTGAGAATCTGTGCTCCAACAGCAGCAATCTTTAGAAATGTTATTAGTAATTTCCAGTTTTATCTTGTTTGTACACACAGATAAGATCCCTAAACACTACAGGCTAAAAACCTGCATGTTAGTAAAAGCACAGCTCATGTACTGAGGCAGGTCCAGATGACAGAATTTATTTTTCTTCATGGTTGAGAAGAGAGAGGCAGAAGAGAATTAACAAGGAAAACCTTTGCCTTTGCTCTTACTTACCATTTTCCTTTTGGTTTTGTGGTAAGGTCCACACAAGCAAAATGAAACCACTCAATTGGACACTGCAAACCAGAGAGAAAGAAAACAGAAGAGAAAATTAGCGCACTTTAAACTAAAAATGAACGACCTAAAACTGCAGGTTTCACCCCACCCCCAATCAGATGTTGCTGTACTAGAAAGGCATGTGGGAAGCAGATTCTTGCTGTACATCCTGAAAACAAGCCACATCAGGCACTCACATCTGGGTTATCACAGCCAATCATTTCTCCGTAGGACACCTGGTGGCACAAGCAGTAGGTGGGCTCATTCGGATCCACTGGCATGTCTAGGACATCCGAAGGATGAACAGAGAGGATGGTATCAGCAAACTCAGATCTGTAGAAGGAGAAACACTACAGGGTATGAAGCGACAGTCAAATATTTGTGTTCACTTAAAACTCAATATTTAATTTAATTCTACCCAGGAGTTCAGCTTAAACTGTATCTTCATGAATAACAAATAAAGGCAACGTGGTGGTATAAGAAATATATCAGATATTAAAGCACCAAAAAGAATCTGAATAACTTGGAACATAGACAAAACCAAAGTGATCTGATGTTTTAAATGCAGAGAAAGGAAAAGAGAAGAATAAATTATACCATACAACACAGTGAGTACTGACCTATAAAAAACAGAACTGCAGAGAAAGCCTACTTTTTTCACTAGTAACTTAAAAATAATTTCTGTCTGCAGGGTTTTGGAGTGGTTCTGGTTATAACAGCTAAGATTCCTACAACTGTTCATTTATTTGATATTACTTTATAATCAATGTTGCCCTTCTTGGAAAAATACCATTATAGACATTGACAGGAGCTGAGAAAGACTAACTTTTTAAGGGAAAAAAGTCTTAAGTAGTCAGAATATGCCATTTAAGAGTAGTCAATGAGAAAATGGAATTGTTCTGAAGTTAGCCCATTCAAAATATTCAAGTTGGCATTGTCCTTTTAATACACAGCACTTGAAAAATAGAGCGGAGATTCTTTCCTATTTGTTACAAAGGGCTAGATTAAATAACTCAAGTCTATTTAAGATCTAGATCCATGATCTAGGATGGAAGGAATTTGGAAATGACTCCAAGATTTCTGAGTGATGCATTATTGTTCTTCAAAACTGGCTTGCACATTAGGGGACCTTTCCAATTAGTGGTAACTGATAGAAAAGGCCAAACCACAAAAAAGCAAAGTTTTTTGCTTCAAGTTAGCTAAAATCAGAGGCTACATTCCTGCCACCTTGGATACAGACACAGTTTCAGCTACTTTAACTCCTTGCACAGCACAGAAACACTTAATACTATAAAGATCCCTCCACATTGGAGACAAGGGGAAAAACGAAGAGAAGGCAGAGTTAGTACTCTTCAGATGGGAGAGTTACAAAAAGGCCTAGAGAGTTTGGCTTGGCATTCCATGAACTGCAAAAACTTTCCCATAAACTCACTAAGCTTGCAGCTGTTTGTCTCTTACCCTCCTTTCAGCTTCTTTTTCTTTGGAGTATCTTCTTCAGATGTTCGCCTACCACGACCTCGGGAGCCTCTCTTGTCCTTCTGACTTCGCCCCTCTGAAAGACAGCATTATTACAAATTAGTTAGATTTCAGATCAAGTATCGACTGTTTTATTTTTTTTCCTGGATGCTCGTATTACTTTAAGGACTTTTAACTAATACAGTATACAAATAAGGCCCTTTTGATATAGAAAATGTGTATAGTATGCAAATAATGTCACATGCAGAATGCCAAATTCTGCTCCAGTTGGCAACTAGAGTAGTTGAACAACGTAAGTCAATATATTTGCACAGGGTGTAAACCACAGAATCTGGCCTGTTACTGTATATTGAAAACCATCTAGTTAACCCAGTGAGTGTCAACCATGGTTCCATGGCACCCTGGGGGGGCCCTTGAAATCCTTTCAAGTGTGCAACACACAATGTTAGCACTGTTAGATGTACAAATATGATTCACAAGATAAACCAGAGATTTCAAAGAGAAACCCATAGGGGTTCTCATAGAACAGTCTGTCCTGTTGTGGTCTTTCTGAGTTCTTTGCAAAAAAAGAATTACTCTATTATTTTTCTGTAGTCAAAAGAAAAGTGCTGGCAGATGCCTCAAGTCTAGTGAGGGGTGCCTCAAATACAAAAAGTTTAAGAACCATAGAGTCAATGCTTCTAAAATTTACTCAAGTCTTCCCATCAAAGGGCTATGCATGCTAGTTGAGAAGCAAGATACCGCTGCCTCCACTACCAGCTTAAGTACATCCCTCAGAGCCATACTGTTATCAAGTTAAAGGCACAAACTAGCCGTACACTGTTCATTGTTTCTGTATTTTATTTGACTTTTTGCTACATAAAATTTCTTATCCAAGTTAAGAAGACTGGTTTCCTTTAACTCTTCAAGTTCACTACTGTTGCCAGTTTCAACTGGACCCTTCATATTATTTAACTTACGCTTTTTCTTTCTAATTCATATTTTTTCTTAAAAAGCAAATCATCCTTTTCCCCTAAAAGGGCTTATACCTCTCAATGTAAGACAAACCAGAAGTGAAGTTTCCTCAACCCAAAGTAGATTCAAAGATTTAAGAGCTATGGATGATGGGTGCAGATTCTTCCCACTGCAACCCCACTTTGCCTTTAGACTGTTTTTAATCAGTGAGAGAAGGGGCCATACCTCAGGATATATCAGGTGGTAAGGGGGTACTTGAGTATTTGTTGTCAGTGGTGACGAGTAGGGAGCACACGGGGGTGCACATGCACCCCCTGAGAGCACTAGTGCACCCCCTCACAGCAGCGTTCCCCACTTAGGCGGCAGGCAGGGGGGACAGACAGGAGAGCTGGTGCTCCCCCGAGTGCCAGCAGGGGAGTGGGGCACCAGGAGAAGTGCCGCTGGCACTTCTGGGTACATCCCTCGCCCTTCCGGGCGTGCCACTGGCACTTCCGGACAACATACCCTCTTAGAGCCAGCTTAGAGGGAACACTACTTCTGGGTCAGCGTGCGTGACTGGCCATGGGGGAACCCCCCGGTCGGCGCCAACTGCCTGCTGGGGGGGCAGTTGCCCTCCCAACTCAGGAGGCACCAGTCGCCCATTTTCTTTGTTACTTTGCCCAAGTGAGCAGTGATGCCTACGACAAGATTGCCTAAACCTCAGAAGAGCATTAACAAAAACAGCACACACTAAAATTTAAGAGGCAAAATTCTCCCTTTCCTTCATCCAGGCCCACCTGCAACGCATGAGACAGATGCATTGGACAACAAGGTTTTCCAGTGCTGAGCAAGACAGCCCTGGTCACAATACAAATGAAACACACATACTTTTCAGGCCTCGTCCTCCAGGGCTCTCAAAGTCACTGGCTTCCAGCTTATCCTTCAGATCTGCTTCGAATCGGGCCAAGTCTGCATCCAGCCGTCGAATATGTTTATCCACCTGCATAGAACAAACCATACAGCTGAAAGCAAAACCAGAGGAACCTGGCAACTCTACAGCTATTCTAACTCGTGAAAATCTAGCAGTCCAATGCAAGCTAAAGCAGCTCAGCCCTACTAAAGAGATCCTTCTTCGGGTTGCTGTTTAGTAGAGGTGCACCAATACATCAGTCCGATATAAGATGAACACCGATATAAAGAAAATTGACTGTAGGAATTCAGCCTGATATGTCCTGTAATTTGGCCAATAAATGCCCCTGCATGCACACAGCTGCAGCACAGCATACAGGCAGTGAGGAGCAGCTTAGAGAGTTGCATGCAGCTGGCAAGTCTGTTGTGGTGGAAGGGGAGAGGGGAGGGAAGAGGCATGGGGGAATAGATCAATGCCCCCCCGTGGTGAGGGAGGGAGTGGGGCTGGGGCAGGGGTAGGTGCTGCCCAGCTGGGCAGGTGTGGGGCATGAGACAGAGCCGCAGTTCATCTGGGGATGCGGGGAACAGCTCCCGCTGCTGTGTGCACCCGGGGAGAACGTGGGGGGAGGGGAAGGGGTGCTCCTGGATCTGCTCAATGTGGGGCAGGGCAGGCTGCAGCTGAAGGCTGGGGACTGTGCCAGGCTCTTCCTGGCAGTGGGGAGGGAAGGGGGTCTGCAGCCCACGCAGACCCAGGGGCACACGCTCCCTCCGCCCCCCATGCCCTCCTGGGATGCAAGCAGTGGCAGGGGG